TGTTGATTAAAATTTTAATATACATATTTTATCAAATAATATAAATAAAATGAGATGGAAGGAATATTATTTTATTTTATATGATTATTCCGATTTTGATAATACAATTACCATTTAGTCTACCATTAAAATTAAGAAATGAAAAGAAGATGATAAGACAGGTCTTAAAAAAATTTAAAATTATAATTATTATTTTCGACGAAGATAAGGTTAAAATTGAAAATATTAATTAATAATTTAAATGACAGAAATTATTAAGTAATTAACTTTCAAAAAAAATTAAAGATTGAGCTTTCAAATTAACCTATTTTGAAAGGACTAGCCATTAAAATTGACCTGAATTAATTAAAATGGATAATTAGTTGAGCAAAAAATTCAATGAATCAAGTAATTTAAAATGAAGTGATCAGTCAAGCTGTTATTGCAAATATAGATAAGGTTTTATTACTAATAGAATTTGAAAATTACTTGTCTTTTTTTATTATTATTTGAAAATAAAATTCTTTCATCTCAATTGTCATGACTACATCAGCTGAAACTATTACAATCACTTGATAAGTGGACCACCACAAGGAAGATGGGAAAAAATAATAAATAAATAAGATTAAACAAAGACTTTTCAATTGGATGCTTATAAGGCTTTTGGAAGACTGCAACACTAAGGTCAAATAAATAATTTTTTAAATATAAAAAAATAAAATGCTATTATTTAAATCCTATTAAATAATAGTTCTTTGGTTTTCAAAGCCTATTAAGATGCTTCTTCTTTATAAGAATTTTATATTATTCCTATAATATCACTATCCAACAAATAAAACTTAATCAATTATTTTAAATATATTTCAAAACATAAAAAAATAATTAATAATAATTTCCAACCATTAACTTAACAAGTGTTATGTGTTTGTATTTATTTAAATAATTGTAAGTAAATTGGCTAATCATGTCCTTTTTGTAAGTCTCATTTAGGCTGAGCTTAATAATTAATTATTAGGTTGAAAATTTTTGATATTGACTATACGTTGAATGGAAAATTTACTTATAAATCAATCACTGTCGACCCCACTATGGTTTAAAAAAAAAAAATTATAGTTTAAAACAAAGAAAAGGTTCATCTCATTTCATTTCCCAATTCAGAAGTGCTTCTGCAAGTGGGTCAATGGGTATCGCTTTAATTAATTAAATTCATGACCTTAATTCGTGATTATGACTCAATTCTCACTCATACCTATATCTAATTTATTTACTTAAAATCTATAAAAATGATAAGACATATTTAATGAAGAAAAATTTACGAGATTCTGAAACGAGATTAATTTTATATTTATTTAAAAAAGTAGAAAAATACTGTTTGAAAATAAAAATAAAAAATAAGATATGCAGCCTGCAAATGATTTGATGGCATAATTAAACTGTTATTAGAGGCCTAATTGGCATAAGTAGACATTGATTAAAAAATTAAGCAATTATAAAAAAATGAGAAAGTAATAATTAAAAATGAGACATTAAAAAGTCAATTTAGCATTTTATAATCTACATGAAAATAAAATATTTATATTGAAATATATTCTATACCCAATGCATGACATTACCATACAACCAGCTCAAAAAAAATTATCATTTTTAATTATTATATTATAGACGTACTACTAATCAATCACATGTATAATATTAAATCATTAATTTTATAATAGGTTCTTCAAACTTTACGTGATTTAAATGAAAATAGTCCAACAAATGGCTATTACAACGTTTTCAATGTCAAACATGTCCCATCACAATTCACGCAAATCAAAGAGACCAGACACACCTTTCGGGTTTTATTGAAAACTCTAGGCGACCTGACGTTTTCGCAGTGGCGGGAATGATGATGTAGCCGAGACCCGAATTCTGAAAACGGACAGTTGTAACATTGCGGTGACGGTAAATCAAGAAAAAGAAAAAGAAAAGAACTTCAAGAAATGGTTCTCTCTGAAAGAACGTTAGAAGAAGAAGAAGAATAACTGTGACATTGATGGTGAAATATGGAGAATGATGCTATTGCAAGGCTTTTTGTCTCGCGAGTAGTAGTTGCTCTTATTACTTGAGGTTTAGAAGGATTTATAATTTGTAGGTTCCATTTTCTTTTTCACAGGAAGAAGATAAGCAAAGTGCTTGCTTTGTTTTGTTTTTCCTTTTTTTTTTTTTTTAAAAAAAAAATGATTGATTGATTGGAGGGGCCACCACCGAAAACTACGGTGGACAAGTAGGGACCCACCAATGCACCACCCATATTTGAAGGTGGGGGTGGGGACAAGGAGCGGCGCCACATTGAACATGACCGTCCAAAATGGCTAATTTACAGGGGTTTGGTTGGTTTAATGCTGAATGGTTATGTCGATGTCCTTAGATTGTGTCGTGGCTTTTTATGGACTCGCGATTGTCCATGGCTCGCTGTCGCTGGGTACTTGACTTGTCTACGATTGCGTCCGCGTGAACCGGTGGTTTTAGGAGCTGTAGATAGATATTATTAGGGCAAATATGTAACATTACCATTCAATTTAGCAATTAATCTAAATGGAATATATATATATATATATATATTTGACTTGTCTACGATTTGCGTCCGCGTGAAACCGGTGCGTTTTTAGGAGCTGTAGATAGATATTATTAGGGGCAAATATGTAACATTACCATTCAATTTTACGCCAATTTAATCTAAATGGAATTAATATATATATATATTATATATATATATATATATATATATATATATACACCCATCATTGTAGTGTACAAAGGAGCTTTCACTCATTTGTTGGCTTATCCAAATGAATCATTGATGAATCTTGAACCATTGTCCACCGGAAAGAAATGCCTCTCTCACAAGAAGATTTTGAATAAGGGCCCCTCCACTTTTTATGATGCCTCTAGGTGTGTTGCACACACCACTTTCTCACATTATCTCTCCTCTTTTTATTTTGCATATTATTCCATTCATATAACATTTAGTGAAATATATAAAATTTAATCTCTTGAGTTTCCGCGTTACTCTTTGAATTTTACTTTTTCTAATAATCTCAATTAATGGTAACTTTCAAAATTTTTGACTTTTACATATAAAAAATATTAATTTGATTATGGTTAATACAACTCCTTGAAATAATAATTTTTACATCTTTTAACTATTCAATAAATATATAATGAATTTAATTTTATAGTTGAGGTGTTCAATTGGCAAAATAAAAATTGAAAATGTCATATGTTTTTCATAAAAACTTAGGGATAAATTCATGTATTGAGTCTCGGATTATTTATTTTGTTCAATACATAGTAGTTAGTTAAAACAAAAACTTAATTTCTTTTACCAAAAGAATGATTAGTTAAATTGTTACCCCACATCTTGACTTGAAGCTTCCTTATTTTTGTATTCGAAAATATTATTGCTTGTTCCACAAAACCTTACGATAGTGTATAACTACTCAAAACTTAGTCCACATTTCGTACATTTATTAAAGAAGAGAAAACTCATTATGATTTTCTATATTTCTTGTTTCCAAAACTATGCAATTTAAACTTGTTAGTTAATAGTTAATGAGGCTTCATTTTCTATGATAACATGCAGAAGAGAAGGGTTTATATAGTTGTGAGTTGTGACCCTTTGGCTATTTCTATCTCTAGGAGACTCGGAGATTGTGGGGTCAACAGGTTGGATAACCTAATCTTGGGTGGGATAACGTAATCTTGCAATTGTATAATAAATAAATAAATAATAGTACTACTTACTAGTAAAGTGGAGGGACATGGGATTGGGATGGGATTGCTCTTTCCCATTAAGTGGTTCTCTTTGTGGGACCTTTCTCCCTCTCTAACCTGATGATAATTTATAGGCAGAGGAGGCCAAAGACGACTCTCTTTTCTAAAACTATCTTTTGTTTGTCTTTTCTTCTTTCGGTAATTCACATGGCAAAGATAAAAAATGAACTGAAGAAATAAAATAGTTGCTTTATTTTCTTCTCTTTCATCCAAAAAAGTGAGTGTACAATAATTAAAGAAATGTTAATTACCATGGGTAAGTTTAATTTATCCACCGATTCTTGAATATCTGTTAGGTAATATAAAAAATATATATATATCTCTAATTCTTACTATTCCTAAATACTACTAGTTGAAAAGAAAACGAAAGAAGTGGGAGGGAACACGTGTGCAGAAGAGAATAGCTTTACAGAATCGTACCTACAGACAAGGCAAGATGAGAATAACGTAGGACCAGTGTTTTACTGAGGAAAGAGAAAGTGGGGCCAATTAATAGAGTTACAAAACAAGGAGGGAGAGAGAAGGAGAGGGTCCAAGTCAGCAAGGGCATAATTGGGACCTGAACACATATATCTTATGGAAGATAGATAAGATACTATTGAAAATCTAATGTTATAATGAGAATTATTATTATAATTATTATAAGAATAAAGTACTTGTGAAAGATAAAGTCATCACATCCACAAAAAGTAGAAATAAGCCACGTGTAAGATACTGACAACAATGAGACGCACCCTTTTCAACAAGCCACTTTTGCCTAAGGACAGGCAATGGCAACACTATTTACAATTACACCTACCAAACTATTTAGTATTTACAATAATATTAGCACCATAGTATAATTTTATATTTTATACACACAAGAACAGGAAAACAATAAAGGGCATCCACCAAGTGGGGCACATTAGGACCCACCCACATGCATAAAACAAAAAACAATCCTGACTCCTGACTGATTCTTCTTCACACAACGGAACTGGAGCTCCTACACTTCCAAGTTTCAACTGTAAAGTCCCTATGCCTATATAGACCTATGAAATCAAATATCTAATCTTCTTCCTCCATCATCCCTGAGACTGAGAAAACCTAGAGCACAGACCTCAAGCATCTTCTTCTCCTCTATTCATAGTATTTACCCCGAAAATCAAATGACCCAGAAGAATTTTATAGATATGTATACTATATATGAATAAAAAAACACAAAGAAATTTAAAGCTTGGTGGCATCATCATGACAGAGGAGAAGAACAAGGACAGATTTTTAAATAAAAAAAATGAGAGGGTTGCTCTTATATGTGCCAGACATATACATACACACCCTCCATTGCATATATATATGTTCAAAGATAATTGTCTACTGCTCCTGGAAAATAAAATTAGACCCCCCAAATATAAAACAGAAAAATCTAACAGAAGTTGAGTAAAGAAGAAACCCTCCATTTACTAACAAAGAACAAGGAGGGAGAAGGTCCTTTTTCTGTCCCTCTCCTCTCCATTTTCACCGTCTTTCCCCCTCCATCCCCTACTACAAAACACTTTGGTCAAACTTTTCTTTTTGCCTATCTTGGCCCATCGAATTTAATTACAAACTTGAAGATCAACATTGTCAGGCTATCAACACAATGCTGAGATCAATGCACATAGCAAGCAAATTCCATGATACATATGCCATTCCCACCTGTTAGTTAAACTTCTTTTTCCAAAATGTGGGTTCTCATCCGAATGGCAGGCTTCCCTTGAATACTTCCATGAGTTCCCGCAATTCTTTGCAGGCAGCCAAAAGGGCAATGCAACTCGATCCCCCCCAGCTCACCAAAATCTCAATTCAGTTTTTGGTTGTTCACTTCATCGCCTCCTGTCTGGGGGTTGCCATGAGAAGTGCTCTGAAGAAATTATTTTACTCCGCAGCAGGTTGTTTATGCTCTGCTGGCTTTACCTGAACAGCAGTTGGAACTGCATGAACATAAGAGAGCCCAGCAGGTACAAGATGTGGCTTTCCAGAGGTCTGTGCAGCAGCAAACTGGGCATGGATAAGACCCTGTGAAGGTAGCCCACCACCTTTCATACTGTTTGCAGCAACAGCCTTTGCAGGATCTGTAGTGGCAGTATTAGGAAGAGAAACAGGACATAACAACATCCCTGCTGAGGAGGTCACTGACAAACCTTGTGGCTGCTGCTGTTGTTCACTGCGATGTCTTTGGAGATAAAACCCACTTGGAGCTGATGTTGTATGTGCTGAACTTGCAGCATGTTGAACTTGGGCTTGCATAAAACTATTATTGTAAAGCATCTGGGCTTGCTGCAGTGCATGCTTTGGTAGCTGCTGCTGTTGCTGCTGCGGCAACTGAGACTTGGTACCAGAGCTATTTGTAGGCGTGGAGTTATGGGGATGGCCAAGAATTGAAGGAATATTTCTCCCACCAACTGGAGACGATTTTTGAGCAGGCATTGATGAGGAGTTCTTGGGCTGCTGAGATGAGAGAGTAGATGATTGCCCACCCTTGTTACCTGTAGAAGTGGAAGTGGTCCTTGGGCTCCCACCAGCACTCTTTGAAATTGATGTTGTTGGAGAACCAACCACCATTGGAGGAGATTGGGATTGATTGCTATTAGGAACTTGTTGCCCTTGAGGTGCAGATGATGATTTTGGGTTGGATGCAAAAGATATTTGCGTCTGGCCTTGTTGGATGCGGCCTTGCTGTTGGGGAAGGTTTTTGAGAGATGATGAAGTGGAGGCAAGAGATGGAGAAGGACCTTGAGAAGTAGTGGTCCTAACAGAATTCTTCCACTGTGGAGATTGAACTGGACTACTGTTGCTTTGGACAAGATTTGGAGGAAATCCAGAGAGTGCATTGGGGAACTTGACAGCCATCGATGAAGATGAAGAAATGTGGTCAGAGAACACACTTCCATTACTTGTAGCCTGAGTTTTACTTCGAGCAGAAGCAGCAGCCGCAGCAGCAAATTGATGCTGCTTTTGAAGTTGAATCATTTGCTGCTGCTGCTGATTCCGCTGCAGTTGCTGCGGCACATTTGAAGCATTCACTGTGCTGATAGAGGCTGACATAACAGTACTGATCGATCTAGCAGGAGTAGACCCAAGGTTAAGGGTTCGTGCTGAACTATCAATCACAGTGTTGCCTGGAAGTGTTGAAACTGATGTATCTGTTAAATCTGGCAGGGAAAAAGCAATAGACTGTCCAGCAGTTGCTTGAGCCTTCCCCCCTGGCATAACTTTTCTCTCTTCTTCTACATTCGAACCATCGTTTCCGCTTGTTTTTCCTTCTTCGGAAACACGGTAATTCTTTTTCTGCTGTGTTGCTTGGGCAACTGCAGCAGCAGCCATGAAAGGATACCCATGCCTTGCGGCCTCAGGAAAGCTTTGGAGAATAGCATGATTTTGTGCGATTGACGAAATATCAAGGCTGGGAGCATTTGTGGCTCCATTGATGGAAGCAAATGACATGGCAAAAGCCTGAGAATGTTCAACTCCAACTTTTGAGCCCTGTGGTTGTGATTGCTGCTGTTTCTTTTCCCCAGCATTGCCACTTCCACTTGTGGAACCACCCATTGTCGGTGGAGTCATCAGAGTAAAGTTTGGCGGGTGTATGGGCATTGCAAAATTCTGACCATAAATACTCATGTTTGCACGAGAGGCTCGGCTATCAGCAGTAGAAGGGCTATCTTCACTACCTAATTCACTCTCAAGTTGGCGAGTTTGATGAGGCATATGATGATTTTGTATTTGCTGCCTCTGTTGAAGCTGCAACGACTGTGATGTCTGGTTTTTAGAGGTTGGAAAGACTTGCAAATTTCCACTACCACCATTGACGCTACTGCCATGTGGTCTTTGCTGCTGATTGTGCACGTGCTTCTGGGATGATGAGGAACCACTAGAAATGCTTGGGTGCTGATGACCCAGTTGGCCTTGTTGAGAGTGTGGGGTTTGAAGCTGGGTAGGATGGATCATTTGGGATGAATAGAAAGGACCATTGAAGAAAGGCATTGCCTGGGGAGGGGTTCCTCTATAGGTTGGAGTGGATACATGTGCTGGAATTGGAATTGGGTATGCACTGTTCTGTAAAATTGCCAAGTACTGGGGTTCACTGCCAGGCATATTGGGGTAGTTGAAGCTCACTGCTGTGGCACCAGCTACAGCAGTTGCTGTGGCACTAATTGAGGCAGAATTTGAGGCACTCGGTGAAGCAGTGTTACCTGCAGCAACAGGAGCAGATTTTAAAGTCCCAGGTCGTACAGAAGCAGCAGCAGCAGCAGCAGCCTGTTGTTGATTCAATGGGAAGATAAAAGCAGGAGCATGCTGAAATTCAAAAAAATGAAAGCAAACTTGTTTCAAAATTCAATTCCAAAAATAGTTCTCCATGAAAAACGCTGCAAACTGGGTAAAAAAAAAAAAAAAAAAGCAGCTTACCAATATATTACTGGGTGCTCCTGGGGGTAGAGGTTGCTGAAGCAAAATCTGCTTTCTTTGCGCAGAATCTACAATGTTGGAATTTTGAGAGCTCTTCTCCTTCCCAGAGTGACCAGGAAAGATGGCCAGACCCTGACCCTTGTCCTGCGCAGAGTTCACAGCCCTGCCAGAATGCAAATCTGCTGAGGGCACCACATTCACGTTGCAGGCCTTTGCCCCAAACTGTAAAGCAGAACCAGCTACTGCCGGCCAGAAAGGATTCCTTGCCAATTGCTGTTGGCAATGAATAGTCCGTGCAATGTAGTAATGGGTCGCACACCTTTTTGGCCTTGGTTGGCCAAAAAGCAGATGTGGAGGCTATAAAAATTGAGCGTAAAAATCATCAGCATTGAGAGAAGACCCAAAATTAAAAGAATGGAAGAATAAGACCTTAGACAACACGAAAGAAAATTTAGTTATATACCTGTACTGCTGCAGAAGGAACGGTGCTTCCATCCATGGATACAACCCCTTGCAGAGGCGCCATATATCTGCTGATTAAAAGGTTGTGTCATTTCCCGGAGAAAAGAGTTTAGAGGTGGATGGATGAAGGAAAAGATCAAAGAATACAAACAAAACAATCTGACCATACCCCATGTGAGGAAGCCCACCAGGCCAGCTAGCCATAGACATAGGTAGAGGTAACGAACTTGATTGAGCTGAGGACAATACAAAAAAGAAAAAATTGATTCAGCTCAGCTACAAAGTTGGGAGATTGGAGAAAAATTCATGGAAAACAAATTGATGTCTACCATCAAGAAACACACCCCCACCCCACCCCAAAAAAAAAATAATAATAAATAAATAAATTACCAGCTTTCTCAGTGCCTAGTGTCTGTTGCTTCTGAATATTTTGGTGCGCCTTATTACCAATTCCAGTAACATCAACGCTGTCTCTATCAGATTTCTCCAAATCAAGCTGCAGATCAATATTCCTCTCTTTATTAACAATAACAACTGGCTTTTGGGATTCAACTTCTTCGGCTGCCACTTTTGCCTTCTTGTCCTCTGATTCCACATTCACATCTTTTCGAATTTTCACTGCCTTATCATCTTCTTTGACCACTGGTTTGATCTCCTGCAAATAAATCCAGTGATTGATACCATTATTTTCACGTACCAAACAAGACTACTAGATGATAAGTAAGACATAGTAGGTGGGCCATTCACCATTTCAACATTTGCGACTATAGGTTTAGGATCTACAGCTACGAATCCGACTTCACTGTCCCTTTCTGGTGATGATCCTACAGGAGGCGGAGCCTGCGACCCAAAAATTGAAGGAGGCAAATAAAGAGCGTATCAGGATCCCACATTGAATTTTCTAAAAAGGGAGAACTGATTCCACGAATAGTAAATGATCCTACCATCAGATCTATCTGGAACTTCTCTTCTCGCTGGGTTTCAATCTCAAGAACAGTAGTATTCCTGGATTTAAGAAAGAAAAAATCAGAATCCCATCTTCAAAATTACCAAGAAATAATGACATTAAAAAGGGCATTCATATTCGATGCTCACACTTTAGTAGCTGTCACACTCTCACGATCTTCATCCAGTCTATGACCATCAGGTGGAGATTCCTTCTTAGGCGACCGATGCTCCTCTTTGTTCACAGCCAAATCTCTACTATCTGATTCTTGAACTGACGTCTTTGAGTCGTGTAATGAGTCGTGTAATGGATTACTCTCAGACTTCAATAGCTCCTGCTGCTGTGGCGGTTCTGTCGATGCCGGTGCCGTTTGACTGGCTACCATCTCGTGTGAGAGGACGCCATTTTCGGCTGTGGATCCTGAATTCTTATCCAAATTAGATGAGCTAGTTTCGATTTTAGGAGGCTGATCTATCTCGACCTTTGTTGTAGAAATGGGACTATTTCGGACGGGATAAACTGATGGGTTCTCCTCCTCGTACTTGACTGGTCGAGGTCTTTTCCTCTTTGGTGCTTCAGATTTGTATCAAAATAACCACAGAAAACCATCAGTAAGAAACCAAAAGCACAACTCCCTTCCTGTCAAGCTACTGATAGAAACATGAAAATAAGGAACCATAATTGGATCCCAAATTGTCACTTCCCCAGTTTCTTAGCAGGTAAAAAGAGCATTGGGATGAAGAGTAGTTAAATGGAATATGGACCCCCTTGAGCTTTTGAAGGCTCAAGCAACTCACCAATTGCAGACATGGGAGTGGATGAACTAGAATTAGTGGGGGGAATCGAAGATGACTGAGGAATCGTAGACGGTGAGTTGGAGATCGGTGATGACACTCTGGATTTGGCATCCCCTGTAGACTTATTGTTGCTGTTCGAATCAAACCTCATCGAATCATTTGCAATTTCTTGCTTAGTGGGTCCTTGGGGCTGCCTCATCAAGCCATACAAAACCTCAGCAATCTCGATCTCAATCTCCTCCTGAGCTGAGGAAGTGAACTTAGATGAAGATTTTGGCGGTCTCTGCTTCGGTCCATTAGGCTTCTACAACAGAAGAAAAACACTTCTTACTCGATTGAACCAGAAACACAAAATCAAAACCATAGAATATAGATTAATATCCAGGACTGACCATCTTCTTCTTAACAGAAACATTAGAAGAAGACGGTGAGACCGGAGCTGGAGAGGCCGATGCTGAAGCCAGCATCGCTGCAACGCTTGGTCCAGTCGATCTCACCGGAGACGTAGAAGCTTGCCGGTGAATTTGCTCGGCACCAACTCCACAACTTGAAGCCCATTCATGAGACCTCTTCGTAGATGCTGAAAATCAAAATAACAAACAAAATCATATCAATAATCCTGAAACCCCAATCCGACCGAGGAGATAAAAATACAAATACACAAGCTATCCACAAAAAATCTCAAACTTGTTTTTTTTTTTCCTATTTAAATCTCTTCCACCTCTCTACCTGACCGAGCTTTTCTAGGCACCGACACACCAATCATCTCATCGGGTGCCTTCCATGGAGCTGTCGCCGGAGCGGCTCTAAAAACTTTGGTAGGCGGCGGAAAGCTTTTCCGATGGTGATGGTTCGACAAAGAAGATGAAGAGAGGGACGAAGGATTTGGCGGAAGCATCCTCATAGAGCTACCTACACCACCACCATCATCGTCATCCTCCTCTTCATCATCATTTACACTCTCCTCCGAGCTCTCATCGCCTACATCTTCTCTATTGCTCCCGTGCATCAACCTGTCTCCTCTTCTCCTCTTACCCCTACTGCTCATCCGATCTCTGTCCCTGTCCCTCTCTCTATCACGGTCTCGGTCTCGGTCTCGCTCTCTGTCTCTATCTCTGTCGCGATCCCGATCTCGATCTTTTTTCCCCGTCCCTCGATCTCGTAGCCTCGCAGTTTCCTGCAACTCTATCGGACCATCATCCTCTGCAATAAGAAAACAAAATCCAGTTAAAAATTAATTGCAACGACAACGTTTCATCAGAATCAAAGAGCTTAGATCTGATTGAAAAAAAAAATTTGAACCTGGAGAGTCTCTTAGGCTACCGCTTCTGTGTCGCCTTCTAGATGTTAAACCATTGGTAGCGGCCATACTGACTCTTCTAGCTTCTCTATTTCTCTCCATCTCCGTTATGCTTTTCTATTAACAAATCCGTTATAAATAGAAGGGTATTATTTTTATATCTCATCACCAGAGCATTATTAACCGGAAACGGAGGGTAGGTCACCGGAATTTGCAGATTTAGACCTATTTTCAGCCTTCTTAAGCTGATTCTTTACAATCAACAATCTTCAATGAAGCAGTGTTAAAAGATCTTCCCTTAACTTATCTTCACCCTACTCCTCCACCGTGCCCTTCTCTCTCTCTCTCTCTCAGTATCTCTCTCTCCTCAAATCTTCCTCTGTCCTCTTTTTGTGCTCACATCTTCTTCCCTCATCTTTTTAGCTATTTCACTCTCAGCCAAACCCGCTCTGGCCTTAATTGGACGGCCGCGATTTGTTTAGTGTATTACATGGATTCATCTGAGGCGTTGGATGAAGGACGAATCCAACGGAAGCCATTGGCTAAAACCAGCATGGCAAAATCTAGACCGTCAAACAATATTGCTCCTGTGATTTCTTTAACTTTTCTGCATAATTCCGCCACGTATTAACCTTTTTCCTTCCTCCTCAAGCTTCCATGTTTACTCCTCACTACCTATTTGAGTATTTTATTATTTTGTTCCAACAAATAAAAAACTGATTAGTCGATAATTAAATTAATACTAAATTTGTACTATGCTAGACGATGAGTGAGAAAAAAAAAAAAAAAAAAAACAAACGCAGCATGGCAAAATCTACGAGCCGTCAACAATATTGCTCCTGTGATTTCTTTAACTTTTCTGCATAATTCCGGCCACGTAATTAACCTTTTTTCCTTCCTCCTCAAGCCTCCATGTTTAACTCCTCACTACTATTTGAGTATTTTTTATTATTTGTTCGCATACAAATAAAAAAACTGATTTAGTCGAATAATTAAATTAAATACTAAATTTGTCTTGCTAGACGATGAGTGGAAGAAAAAAAAAAAAAAAAACAAAACAAAAAAAAAAAAAAAAACAAACCGCAGCCCACGAATCGCGATCAAAATTTGAAACAAAAGAAAAAAATAATAATAACAGCCCTTGAATTTCCCAAAGAGATGTCGTCACCGGCAATAGCCGGTAACTGAGACCTTGGTAAAGCAACATGACGATCACAAGGAATCTAGGTGACCGCAGAAAATATCGTTCCAACCGGTCAACTCCATTATTTCGGTTCCACGTTTCTTTACTTTCTATATAAATTATTATTAGATTTAATTATTACGGATGAGAGCAACCTACAGTATATTTCCAAAAAAAGACAGGTGGACCCCACGTGAAAGTAACCAAATTTAGAGAATTCGATGGATGCGATCTAGCATAATGAGTAAGATCAAACATATGCACCGTTGGATTTTAGTCTGACGTGGCCAGAGCATCAATTAAACAAATCCCACAACCCAGATTCCAACCAGCAAAAAAATCCGAGCTGGCAGCGAACCAAGAGGCTCGATTGCACTCATGTTGATCAGTGAGCCAGATATCTGCCGTTTATCTCAATCCTATCATCCATCCAACGGTTAAGATCCATGCAGAGCCTGTTCAGGAAACTAGAGTCACGGTCACGGAACTTCCGAGAAATGTGGGTCCCTTCACATATTAGCTGCCCCTCCCCATCTTGAAATTTCTTTTCATCGCGTTAGCCTTATTTTCACGTTCGCAAGATGGTGGCAGCTTATTGGTGACGTGTGTTGGGTCCCACCTTGTACACATAAAAAGGGAACCCACCCAGCTAGAACCTACTCCCCGGTCAAATTTCACCGCGCGGTTAATGAAAATAAAATAAAATGTTGTACAGTAGTATTATATTATATTCAGTTTTAAAAGAGAAGTGTGACCTGGATAAAAGTAACCAGACAACATAAGATATTATACAATATAATTTATAAATATAATATAAATATAATATAAAAATATTCCTGCTTTTAATCCACGCGTGCATCGCGGAATTCACATCCAAGTGCACTGAATTAAAAAGTAGCACTCCAGCGTGGCGACGCCCCCTTCATTACGTGTCACGGTGTTGTTTGACACGTATACTTATTCGTCGCCCGCTTTGGATCTTGTTAATCGCTCCCGCCCCCTTCCCTTCGACCTTTTCCCACTCACGAGCCGGTAAAAATCTTACCTTGACGAAGAAAGGATAGAGTTACGTGCGGTGAGTTAGATATATAAAGTATATTAATAAATGAGATGACAGGAATATTTGATTGTGGTAGTAGGAAATTTGCCAACCAACTCGGGTCACTGTATCCATAACCGTGAGAAAGGAAATAATTTTTAAGAGACCCTTGTGGCCACGTCAGATTGGGGCCACATTAAATGGGTTTGACCCACCATAATTGATCCCCCCGTTCCTTTTGTCCCTTTTTATCAAAATGGGGTTGAAGGGCCCTTTCATTCCCTCGCTAACGTGAAACCATGAGAACACGCCACGTGTACGATCACGTTGCTACGTCACTACAGTCTACAGTACTGCCTGTGGCAGCCGTTGTGACCGTGTGTATAACCCTAGCCGTCAATGTATATGTACCGCCTCTAGATGGGACATTTTTCCATTCCGAAAATCCAACCCAATCAATCTTTCTAAAATTGTTTCTTATCTATTTTTTGGATAAATATTATTTTTGGTGTTGAAAATTTCGGATTTTTTTTATATTTTGATCTCCGGACAATGAATATTAGCGAGTGTCTAAATTTTTTAAATTAACAATTAAATACTATCTAATATTAAAATAAATAAAAGAAAATTCAGATTTCTTTATTCGCATATCATGTTGTTTGGCATGATAAATCTCATTAAAATACCAATTAAAATTTTTTATTTATCCTTCATTTATGGTTGCTTTGAAATATAAACAAATTAAATTGCCTCCTCTCTTCGATGTGAATGTAATATTTGTTTGAATTTCACATGAGAATTGAGAAGGGTTAAATTTATTTAATTATTAACCCTAATCACATAAAAAATTCGACTTCTTAAGCTTAACGTGAAAATACAAATAGAATATTACTTATTTAGGAAATTATAGAATTGAAAGAGATTATTAACTAAATTCGATCTTTAGAGACTTCGTAGAAGGCGATCTCACATATGATATCTCCAAAGTTTGTGTAAAGTGTAATTGACAAAGAAAATAAACGAAATAATGGAATATGAGTTTACTCTTCATTCACTTATCAAATTTTTTTGAGAAATAAATTACTTTCAAAGTGCAAATTACAATAAGGTCTATAATATAAATTTTAGTATGTTTAGATAATATGATAAATTGGTAAAGTCGTTGGCGCAACTTCCTTAATTTTCTCTAATAAATTTACTTTTATTGTATAAAGGAAGTTGAACGATTTAATTTTCGAGAAATAAAATTTATAATATAAATCGAATACAAATATTTTATACACTTTCCAGCGAATTATACTTCCCTAGCCTACTTACTACTAACCAAACATCACCTAAAATGAGATGACAACAACACAGTTATGGAACCTATTTTGTCCCATTTAAATTTTGAATTACCTTTCTAAATATGAAATACCTAATAAGTGTCAATTTTAAAAAATCTAGACACTCGATAATAATATTTTCTATTTAAACATTAAAATAAATAAAATTCCAAATACGAAATATAACATTGGTACTATCTTTTGTAATTTGATTTGATTTATAATTAATTATGGGCATTTTCAATAATTATGATTTCATTTTAAATATAGAGATCAGTTTATTCATTCATATAAAATGATAATATGAAAAAACGTATATAAATATAATTAGATATCCTTTATTTTAGTCTTTAGGAGAGGTTCAAACTTAATTTTTGTCCACGTCGGACATCAAAATATATATTTAATTTTTGGTAGTAAAAGTCGGTGGAGTAATTAGTATTTCAATTTATTAAAATAATATATTTTAACATATGAAGCCAACAATTAGATTAAAGGGTGGCCACGCGTCCAATCTAGAGGAGCGTCCAACTAAAATAAGATTGAAAATAAAAAATTATATCAAAAAAATTTCCACAAAACGTGAATTAAAACCAATTAAATTGAAATTGAAATGAAACGTTAAAGATTGATTCGTATTTCATTAAACCAAAACTACCGATTTAAGAGTTCGATAATCGGACCATAACCTGATACCTATTTTTTTGGTTGTAATGATTAATTAATTGATAAGATATTGTCTAAAAGCATATTACTTGATCTTTGCAATTTATTAATCAATATTATATTTTAAGTATCACTTGGAGGGCATTCCTATTGTTTATTGTTCTTTTTTTTATTATTATTATTAAGAATCCCTATTGTTTAATGTTGGGCTTGCCCGTCTTACTAAGACTCTAGGCACATGAAATATTTTATTATTTCTCTATTCATTGTCTTGCTTAATATAATAATATGATTAAAATAATCACATTGTTGGTGGTAATTAGAATCGTAGAAATTCAAAATATATATATATAAATATTGCTAAAATATTTAACTTTAATATCCCAAATAAGCATATTCTCTACATTCATAATTTTATAATAACGGAGCCACTAATAGAGTACAATTAAGTAAAAATAAAAAATAAAATCAATGAGGTATAGTCTTATTCATTTTTCTATTTATGTAGAGCTGGAAGTCTCATATTCGAACATTTTTTATTATAAAAATTTTATCACTTTAGTGAATTAAATGGGTCATTCTTATTTTACAGTTGATAGATGTTTTTTCCACTAATGAATGTCAAATGAATCAAAATAATTAAAATAAAAGTGGATGAAAATATTAATAATAGATTTTTAATAATTTATTCACATTTTTACACATAAGTTAGATGGGTTTAATATGATCCATTTGACCAAATCCATAAAAAGATATGTCAACATTAATAATGCTGATAAACATAAATTAAAGAAATTGAGGATTACAAAGCGCATAGGTGATGACTTTTATCTCTTACTTCTTTTTTTGCTAAACTATTTACTTGGTAATATTTAATTATTTTGAATAAAATACAATTAACATTTCTTTATTGATATTGGCAGACAACTAAGAAATACTATTTTATAGAATCTTGCTTAATCTAGATTTCTTAACAAATAGAAAATGCCACGTAAGATATTAATATAATGCCAACAAAATTTAGGGTGTGGTATTTACAATAAGAATATCTATACATGGTCATATAAAAATATAGTGATTAGATTAAAAAAGGTCCACCAAGTATTTACACGCTGGCATGCAAGCAACCTGGACCCTTTCTTAAAACATTTCCTAATGGGACTTTTTTTATTATTTATAAATAAAGTAATCT